CGAGATAGAGCTTATGGGATTAAATAATTAGAGGCTTTGTATCTCGTGTTGTATGAGAGAATGTGAAAATCGAGTGGCTTGGTGTGACAATATTATCGCTCCAATGAACTTGTAGCTTTTGTGTATGTGTTGAGTTTTGTGCCAGGTTGGGCTGATATAAGCCATAGCGATAGCATTTTAGGAACAATCACCAGAGGAAGATTATCCGATGGTGGCACTAGATAACCCTGGTTAGCGTGAGATTTGTTAACCGCCCCCACAAATTTAGCTCTCTCTAATTCCTGTTCTTTGACGTTAAGGAGTAAGTTTAGGGATAAAAACAACAGTGTTGCCTTTCTTGTTTCTTGGTGGTAATATTTTTTACGTTATCTTGGATGATGACGCAAGGCAGGTGGCTAACCTGTTCAAGTCCAAACAGTCACACGAAAATGGTACATGCGGCAAACCAAACAATAGTATTGCTTCATATAGTGAAGTCAATAAAGAAAGGAGTTGCACATTGAAGATTATTTCCTCGTTTGGGCTGCTAACAAATTCTAAATGAATAAATCAAGTCACGCGAACGACCACTCCGAAGAAACGAGATCTGAATTGTTTTAATTTGGAATCTAATAATAATGTACACCACACCGAAAAGAAAAGACGCGAACGTTGCGCAGATTACGGTCATTTATATGCTAATAATTAACTGAAGACATTTCTTCTTTATGTAGTAATCCACCGCTGAACTAATCTGTTCTTTATAAGCATTCTATCCCCTTGTAGTTTCCGCCCTAATGTTAAACTCAGTTTGCTCGTTTATTGTTTCTCTGCACACGAAAGCTTTTTGCGAGAAAGAGCCAAGAGTTTCTGTCAAATACCGAAAAACATCGAAAGCCTAAACATCATATTATCTTGTCTCGCCATATTATTAATAGACTTATTAATGTTCGGATGATGTTTGAAAACTAGATTACGCGAGTGGTGATGGTTTACCATAGGAATGACAATGAATCTGGTTTCGTCGTAAATCAGAAATAAATGGTTTGTTATTATGATTCATTTCATTTTCGTGGCCTTCAACTATAAACTAAAAATAAAAAAATGACGCGCCTACCAAAACTTCTCGAGCACATTAACGAAAGCGAATTATAATTGAAGGCAAAAAAATATTTTTTTTTCTGACTATTATCGAGTAATCGCGCGAACAAGAAGCAGGAAAATGACACGCCTTGTCTCCCCAAAATTACTTCCATCACTCAATGTGTGAAAACAGTCACGCACTTTGGAAATGCTTTGTATTTATTAAAGACCTTTGGTGGCAATGCTGTTTCAGCCCTATTCTCTTGTGTTTTTCAACTAAAATAATGACAATGGGGAAAAAAAGTAATGCATTTTACATTACGCATTACAATTTTATTACATTACTTTTAGTAGAAAAATTTGTACAAAGGAATGAGACGCCCAAAGTCCATCTCTTCTAAATTCTTATTATATTTGTAATTTAAATTGTATCAGCTTCATATATGCCGTTCATCGATTTATCCGCTTATCTCCAACAACCCAGCGAGATATGGCATTCTGTTTCTTCTCTGAGTCTCGTTCCATGTTCGCTCGACATATAGCTTTAACGGTAATTTTAATGAAGCTTCTTGATTTAAAACATCTTCTAACTTCTCCTTAGGCAATTGAAGTAGAACGTTGAAAGAACTGGGTTGGTTGTCCTATGTTGTTCAATAAATACGATAAATATAATTGGGAAGATATATCTATATACTATCGACCGTTCATTCGGGGGAAAAAAAGCAAGAACTCTTTTACTCACTGTACAGTATTTTATGAATCCTTTCCATAATATCGAATTCGTCCATATCTTCTTTGTCATTTGCAGAGGCAATATATTGTTTACGTATTTGGCAAGATTTGGATATTTCGCAACAGCCTGTATGACCGTATACATAAATAAAGTAGGCATGCTAGTCTGATCCGCCATTTGCTGTAGTGAACCTGCTATTGTCTTCTCTGTAAATATGTTTGTCATTGAGAAACAAATTCTTATAGCTGTAATGCATAAATAAAAAGTCGTATAAGAAAATCGCAATAATTAACTGGCCCACTCCATACTCGATAGCCTACCTTCACGAGATTTTTTAAGCTCTACACTGTCTTCCATTTGATGAAGAGCAACAAGTAACTCTTGCGGTGTCAACGGAGCGGACAATGCATGTGCGCCTGATGTTGATATCGATGGCTTTGACGCATTTGAAGACGCGTTGGATGCATTTGTTGGGGGTGCCGACAATATACGAGAAAACAATTCTTTAACTGGTTTATGCTCTTTCTCTGTATTTACCAACAACTCGAGCATCTTGGGAAGATTGCGAAGAATCTCATCCTAAAATAAACGGGATTGTTAGAACAGTTGGGGGTATAATCAGGACAAAGCTTGTTACTACGTATTACCTTCTCGAGACCCGATATTATTGGAATAAGACACCTTGCATCTAATCTTTTCTGCGTAAATAATGTCTTCACAATGCTAACTAGTCTACTTGTTGGACGCGAAGTGTCAGTGAGGATGATTAATATTCGCAACACCAAAGTCTCACTACCCTGTGGGAAGTTTTTGATTATATTAAGTAATTTAGGTGAATTCATTCCAATATATTTAATCAACGGCTGGATGTTCTTGAGTATTATCTTTTGAATTTTTGGTACAGCGTCAGTATAGACTGAGAAGAGCCTGGTTAAGTAGATCAAAAACATACGTCAACAAACAAATCAACGAAAACAACAATAGAACACGCATTATTACAGTTCCTGTAGTATATAATTCACAAAGAACATACTCAATCAACAATTCGTGCTTTTTAGAGCAGAGGCCAAAGAACAATTCCATATGCCTGAGTGCATCTGCTTCTGTCCATTTCACATCCTCAGACTGTTTCGTCGACTCTTCACTTTCTATCGCCATCTCTGCGTTAACTGACTGGCTACCAGCATGATAATGATAGTCATACAGTTGTGGTGAACGCTCGTTGCGAAGAGCGTTAAGAGACTCTTTTGCAAACGTTTCGACTTCACTAGCTACTTGGGGATGGTCCGGTACCCATCTTTTCACTGTTATTATGGCAGACGATCTTGTTATCTTATCTGATAGGGATAAATATAAAGAAGAGTCAGTCAAGCGTTCATGCAAAGTACTAAAGAAACCTCTTTTATTTACCATTATGTATGCAATAAAGCAATAATATTTTCAGGCAGAAAGGCCTCGTGGGTGGGCGCAAGTTAATTAAATCTTGAAGTGTCGAGAAACCTAGTTGCATTCTTTAATCGAGAAAACAGAATGGTTTCAATTAACTAATTAAAAGTAACGAGTACAAATCATCAATGTTACCTGTCAGGATCATTGCAATATATTTTTATCCTATCAACAATATCTTCGAGCAATTCTGGTGCATCTAGTAAAAACTTTGTAAATGCTTTATCTTTGCGCTCTAACAAGGGCATGACACTATCCAACAGCCGTCGGAACCATATTGGATAATTGGGACTCTACAAATATTAATGTCAGTAAAAGTAATATAAATTTCACTAAACAGTTTGGACAGTTCAAAGACGTCTTACGTAGTTTGGTATGGCTTGTCGCATAATCTCATCATGATACCATTCTTCATAGAGCCACGTTAACGCTAATTCCATCCTATAGCAACAGTCATGCATACATTAATTTATAAACACTAGACAAATATCACTAACATTCGTTAACAATCGCTCACCTTTCTTCGAAATTTTCTAGTATATATCTCACCATAATCTCTCTTAATTCATTGGAACGCATCTCGCGTTCCACATTTTCCTCCTCGATCATCATTGCGTTATTGGACTCATCATTCGGAATATATTCAGGCTCTCTTTTGACAATGCTCATAGAATCGTCCTTAGGCGCACTCTCCTCACTCTCCTCACTATCCTCGTTCCTTACGTTCTCTATATTCTCTGTGTCTTCCATACTTTCCATACTTTCCACACTTTCCACATTTTCGACATTTTCGACATTTTCGACGTTCTCCAAATTTTCTTTTTTCTCCTCAATGTTCTTAATCGTCTCCTCATCCTCCTCCTCATTAATCGTCTCACTTTCCTCACACTCTCCGTTTGCTTCACTCCTATCGCTCATCTTAATATCGCGCTCATTATCCATTTCTCGTATCCGCCAGCTATATTCCCAATCAGTACTGAGACCCCGGGTAAGCAACCTAGAGACAATTATCATCCACTGAGATTTGGTCATACTATAACCGACAGATGGAACGTAAGAACTCGATTGCATATCTTCCATTTTATCCGAAAGAACTTCTTCCGCATCGAATATCTTTGATAACCGCATGCGCATCAGCGAACGACATTGAGTGGGTGCGAGTGAAACGGGTTGAGGAAGTGTAAAAGGTTGGATTCTAAATGTCAGCATTGGCCGTTCGGGAGTGCTTGGTTGGGATTCCGATGCATCAGGCGACATACCCAATGATATCGACTCATCACCATGCTGCATTTTGCACTCGATAGCCACTGAAGTGTTTTGCTGATCAGGAGTTTCCTGTTCAATAAACGATGATTTTAAATCCTCTGTTTCCATTGACTCAATCTTGACGGCAGGGTTGACGACTTCCGCAGGAGTGGGGGGGAACAAATCAACACGCGACACTCGCAAACGTGGATCTCGGAGTCGCGCATCGCGCCTTGGAGTTTGACGCTTTGTGTTATTAACTTGTGCATGTATGCGTGAGGGGGCTGGAGTTGGATGCTGCCGAGAGTCAATATTTAGTTTAAGCCATCAAGGAACGTGAAAAGGTTAACTAAAAGAGTGTTAGCTTATAAACATACCATTATAGCTTGCTTAAGCCTATCTAGTGATATGTTCTGTAATGTCGCTAGTATAATCTCTACGACAAAAGGCAACGGAAACTGCGTAACGTCGAATTGTGCTAATATAAAATTATTCTTTAGGTAATGGTTTCTGGTAATAAAATAGGAACTATGGACGTACTGAAAATATTTTAAACAGTTACTTACAGAGAGCATCGGCAGCGCTTGATCCTATGCCATTGTTTTCATCGAGTCTCGGTCTCTTTGATGATTCGCCATTGTATACACCAATTCGCTTTAGATTATTACGTGCAACATCTTCGGCGGAATCCCGCTGCGCCAAGAGTGTTCTAAATTGTTTTGGCATAATAGTAACCTCCTGCCTTCCCCCTAGTTCCAGTAAAGTATCGAAAACGAACAACGCGAATGACGAGTAGGGAAAAGCCCTTTTTGTCGCAAACAGTGATTAATGAATCTATCGCTAATCAAATCTTAAAGTTTGCAAGTTCTCAATGCATTAGAAGTTAGCTTACCTTAAGAAGGATATCAATTGTATTCGCATACATTTTAGAATGCTCCTTATCTGGTCATCTGTAAGATGATCAGAAGGAACATTATGCCATGTTGCAAAGGCATTTGCGATAGATTGAATATACTGAGGTCGCGTGCGTAATAAAGGACCCATTGCGTTCACGATCGCAGTAATTGTGCTACCTGATCTGTTAGTAAACGGAAGTGTCAAATAGGGTTTTGGTAAGTGTCCCAATTCTTTCCAAACCAATCAATACTACATTCACAACGTACTCTCTGCGCAAAAGCATCATCAATGCATTCAGAATGGATATTGCTTCTTGCTCTAGTTCTGTTGGGTCCAAGAACGGGTGCGATGGAGGACAGAGAGATAGAGAGATATCCTCGTATCGCTTTGTCTATTACGGAAAAACAGCATTTCAGATAAACAGATTTCGGGCTTGGGATTAGAAATGGACATCTATTTCAATATTTGAACCAACCATCGAATCTTTGACATGCCGCGATTGAACAATGACGATAGTTTGTAAAAACTTGACAACGCGAGTCTTTATGCCATAATTTGTGTTAGACATTTCCAAAAAAGATGTAATCTTTTCCTTTATCTTTTTCATAGTATCCCAATGTTGGACTGCATCGATACCAGATCGACATCTACAAAATGTAGAAAACCAAGTTAGAGATCGTATGCAACAAGGGGTTTCGTCCAATTCGATTATTCAGCTTGATAGACGGCAGCTACGCAAACTCACATTTTTCTGAACAGATATGGGAATATGCTGGCGATGCATTGTATCGTCTGTTTTAATACTGGAACTGACCTACAGTTTATTATTATGTTAGCCAGTAACGGTATAGCATCTAATAAGACTATTTGAAAAAGTTACAGGTGAATAATAAATGCAGTGGGTTAAGGATGAAAAAATTGCTCTCCTGTATTAGCAGCTAGACTCGATAAAAGCTGAAACTAAACTTATCGAAAAACTACATCGATAATATCTATTCTCTCTGCCATTGCAATTGTTAAAATTACAATATTTCTAAAATGACTGTTACTAATTCTCTATATACAATCTGTTCTTGTTTCCATGACCACTCTTCCAGACCGAAACCGCTCAAAATGTTATACCCAATTTGTCGTCAGTAAACCGTTTAATCCTCAAGCTCTATATGGAGGAAGTAACACTAGCATACATCTGACGCATTATCACGAAGCAGTTTGACATCTGTACAGATCTGCTTTCCGATAGATCGGGCTCATACGCTACACTGTGTTAACTTAACTATTGCCACAATAAAGGATACGTGACTCTCTCTGTTCCCAACTTATAGGCGATCTGGCGACCATATACTCTATAAATCCGACAGCCCACTTCTGTATGTCAGGGTTAGGGACACTGACAAAACTCAGAGCTACGGTAGTCTGATGTTCAACAAGGTCGCCTCGTCCTTCTACCAATTGCTCAAAGGCATTAAGCGCTTCCAAGCGTTGCTTCGGTTGTGCGTGGGCATCTGAGGCAATGGTTAGCAAAGTTGCAACTTGTGCTTCGGTAGACGCCATATGGAAGAACAATTGACGGAGAAAGCAAGCTTTGGGACAGAACCAAATTTCTACATTAAGTATGCACAAGCCACTATTGTATTACAAATAGTCATATGACACTCGTGGCACGGCATTGTGGCGCGATTAACAAAAGAAACAATTGTATAATTCTATTGTAGTGGATTTATTGTTTAACACAATGGCTTCACCTAATATCGTCTGATGCCACTAAGCATTCTTCGTGAAAAAGGATGCGTCTATAAGGTGTTTTTTTTAAAAGATTTTCAGTTAAACTACAAGTTACATCGGGGCGGTTTATATTTAGTTACCCGTAAAACGAGCATGATGGAAATATGCGAAACAATGATCAGTAAGTATTTTAGATTCTAATATGGCAGGGAAAGGGGAAAGATATGGGAGCTATGTCGAATAATAAAATAATAATAAAAAGGTTGCCAAAATATTTTTTTTTTGAAAAAAAAAAAATAAAAATCATGAACAGACACCAGATCATCAATAGTCGTTAAGTGATGCACCATAACCATCTTGCCAATGCGAATGTTCTACATTAAAGGTGGAGTGCCCAGAGATAGGCAGCCACGTTACGAAACAATCGATTGAAATGTAGGTGCGTGAACATCAAAAAGACCCGATCTTCTATGTTCGGAATAATCAGAAGCTGCATCAGAATCGTCGACTACGCCAAACGCAATCGAAGATGCATGCAACCGAGACGGACGGAAAGCGAAATTCTGTGTTGGATCGGGTCCCCGAGGCTGCCGAATTGGGAAAACAATCGGCGTACCATCGGCGCTAACGTTCACAAAAAAGGAAAATACTATTAGCAAACATGCATAGCGAAACGACATTGCACAGCAATTGTAAACCACATTGCGAAATCAACTTACATCCAAGATCTTCTGAAAGGTGATCGCGATAACGGCGACGCTTCACCACCTCTTAGTGATCTATTGGAAGGACTTTCTGACATGCCCGTAGCGTTTGCGAACAGTTGTGCTGCAGCTCGTCTGCCGTAAGATCCATTACGGGAGGGTGTTTGCTGTACATTTATAACCAACAGAGAAACAGCCAGGTAAGTTATTTAAATATTCAAATATCAGCCATGCACATAGACCATATGTCTCGTTATTCAATAAAGAAAACACTTGAAATGCACCTTGATGTTAATAGCGGCTGAAGCGGGTTTACGCACTATCCTCAACACTTTCTCATCACCATCACCCTCGCTGTAATCGTACAGCCCGAGTTTCTGAGCAATCAAATGTACTGTGCGTCGCTGAGAAGGCGTTAACGTCTTGGAGAAGGCCAGTTCTTCACGGCTTTTGTCGTCACGGAAAATAATAACTTGATCATAGAATTTGAGCGTCTCGGGATCATTAAGGTCGAGATTTGTGGGTTCTGTTGAATAGTCAATGTAATAAGTGCCTATCTGTTAAAGATTAAGCATCCAAATTTGTATCCATACCTGGACTTTTCCTATCAGCCAATGTCTTGTCTAGTTTTCCATTTTCCATTTTTTCCGGTTTAAGATTAATGTTTTCCTTTACAACTTTGTCTTTTTCCCGTACATCCTGGTCTGTTTTTTCTTTTTCTGCCTTTGCTTTCTCCGCCTTTTCTCTCTCTTTTGCCTCTCTCTCTGCAGCAGGCAGAACACGTTTATACTCTACTCTGAGTTTCCTACCAGCAACCTCGTAGCCGTTCAGTGCCGACACTACAAGATCTGTCTCTTCAGGAGTTCGGTAGTTGGCAAAGGCCAACCCTCTAAAGACACCATTATCGAAGTGATAATTGAATGCATAAGGTCTTGGGATATCGAGATTATTCTAATAATCGATTTCAATATGAAGATTATTTTAAGATAATCTCGAGGAGAAACATAGAGTGGGATAGATTGTTTGATAAGGAAACTTACAAGAATAGCAAGAAGCGCGTCTCGTTTTATGGAAAAGGGAATGTTTTTAATGACAATCGCTGTTGGAATCGTTTCTTGAGCACCAGTACTGGCTTCGCTGTCACTTGCTGGTTGAGACGTCTTCTCATACCAAAGCTGCTCAGAAACAAGTTAAAGTAGAATGACGTGATCATGAAATAAAGCTACTGCATACCATACGAAAATTAGGAATGCACCAAGGACCATCCGAGGATTAGTTTTCCTACCTTCGACCGTCGCTTTTCTTTTCTGCGTTGACTGTCGGTATTCCCTTTTTTGAGTTTGAGGGAATTCGACCGGGATGGAGTGTCAGAGTCGACAGCGTGGTCTTCAAATTGATCCTCAAAAGAGAGTTCAAAGTCGTCACCCATTATGTGGCAATGTTTTTTCTTTGGTGGAGATGAAGTGAGAGTATATGCCACCTACGCAAGCGAGAAAAAAAAACAATGCGAAGAGAATGTAATCATATGATACGATTCAAGGGTTTTGTAAGTATTTTCTGCGAGGTCGTGAAACATAAAGAAACGGTGCGTGCATTACGTAACACTGTGAGGTGAGTCAAAAGTGAGGTGATTGATGCCGAATAATAAAAAGATATGGGTTAAAGAATGCTGCGTCTTTGCAAATCCCAATATAATTGTGGCTTTCCTCGTCCTATTGATAAAGGGGGTTCGAAACGGGTCAGAAATGCTATTAGTCATGTTTAATACTTTATGCAACCAATAGCGTGGGGGATTAACGAAGCACAGTTAATCATGTTGATATAATCCTGCTGCAAAGGGAGCAGAAAAATAAGCAGTGTATTCTGTTTATTCCAGCAGCATGTCTCTTGAATCACGAATAAAAAGATTTAGGGACGCCGCGCGTCAATAGTAGATTGCGATTAATGTCTCTGTAATGACAATAATCATAATAATAATAATTAATCACTTGCAGCTAACCAAGCTCGTCTCAATTACCCACACAAAAATAAAGTTTGTTTATTCGTCAAATAATGTTGTTCCTTATATGTCAACATCAGGTGTTCCTGTCGGGCTTCGAGAAGTGTTTTTATGTGACTCACGTGGAATCTCGAAATCTCGCACTTGTTTAAAGAAATCGATTCACACGTTCGAGGCAGATCATTTAATACTTAAAAGGCGTGTTTCAACATGTTGAGTCTTAATACAAATTCTAGATTTCTTCGACACATTTTTTCTTCTTTCACACTCGATAATCGGTGGCTATGATTATTGCGCTCTTATGTGAGTAAGCTAGTTCACTCTTTCTTCTTTTAACTCGTTACTTACCTAATTTCTCAAGATTACATTAGTGTATTCTTAATTGGCGGATTGGCTTTTGCCTCTGTTGAGGGCACCCTGCCAAACATACGACGATTGCAGTACATTACTGTCTATGCATACTCTTGGGTTTCAGAGTGGCCTTTGCTGTTTATCTTACTTAAGATAGGCATTAAAGTACTCGCCTCTTTCTTTGGAGTTTTTCGTAAGTACAAACAACAGGTCGTTTAGAGTGGATATTGTCTTCTTGTCTGTAAATACTCATTCTTGCTATCTATTGGTAGGGACTTGGTTATCTCAGGCTTTTTTTGTATTCGACATCTTGACGATGATTGGGCTCGTCGTTATTTTCTTAGATGGTAGGCATGTGTAGTGAAATTCTCTTAAAGAATGAGTCGTATCTGTTGCTGTAACATAGTTTTTTTGTCATATCAGGATATGAAGCAAGGGTTGCCATACACGAGGCGATAAAGGACTATAGTGATGAAGTAGAATTCCCAACTCTTTCTAGGTAAACTATTTCTTCCATTTCTAATGAGCTTGCTGATCTGACGCTAAACTAGAGATTTGTCGATTTTTAGCGATACTTTTTGGAATCGACTTGTCAATCCGTTCTATATTCCAAAAGACGTAATACAATATGCCAATAGTAAGTACGTCTTGAAAATCTTCATCTTTTTGGATGCAAGGGTTTAATAACGACTGATCAAACTTTGCTATTCGCAGTCGCATATTGTACTGACAATGAGCTAGCCGAAGTACAAACCGATCAAATGCAATCATTGTCACTCGACATTTACACTCGTAGAGATACTTTGGCAACCTTGAAGCCCGTTTTTGTGAGTATTTATGCATTAATCTGCTTGTATCACGATTTTGACTGCAAATACTAAAATTGTTTCCAATCAGTTATTCATTCATGGAGGCGGATGGGTAAGAGGTGACAAAGCATCGCCGTATCCATTGATCCGTCATTTAGCCGAATCTGGTCTTGTAAGCAGTTTTTCATTTTCAATAATTCTGCAGGTTATTTGAGCATCATCTGACTGAACCGTGATGAAACTCTCTTTAGACCGTCGTTGCAATAAACTACCGTCTTGCATCGGTTGCTCCATATCCAGCACAGTTGATTGACGCAAAACGTGCCTTGCGATGGGTGAAGAAAACCATCAAAAATTTCGGAGGAGACCCTAACTTTATCGTAGTTGGTGGTTTGTATACTCGTTTGTTTTTTATATTCACATTCCGAGTAATATTTGACTGATACTATGATCCGATGTCATGATATTTAAAAGGTGACGGTGCTGGTGGACATCTCGCTGCGCTTGTTGCTCTGACACCAAATAATGCAGATTATCAGCCTGGTTTCGAATTGGTAGACACAAGTGTACAGGCAGCTGTTCTAATCAATGCTATAACGGACGTTCTTAACGAGACAATGGTCTGGCACTCAAACTTTGCCGAACACTTTGCAAAAAAAATAGCCAAGTTGGAAACGAACAATGAGGACTTTTTAAGGCAGCATTCACCGATACATAATATAAAACCCGATTCGGTACCATTTCTAGTATTCCAGTAGGTTTTTCTTACTATAATCAGTGTTTGATCCGCAATGAAAATTATTTAACGCGCATTTTTTTATTTGCTCGGATACAGTGGGGATCGCGATAATCTAGTTCCGTTCCAATTATCAAATAACTTTATGGAACGGTTCAAAAAAGGTAGGATATAACGCGTGCGAAATGGATGATTGAGTAATGAAAAGGCGTTTTCTGACTAAGGAAATTTTTACTTGTTAGTGTCAAAATCTGAGATTCAATTCGTCCAAATTCCGGTAAGTCATATGACAGTTTTATAATTACGATTCGTTATTATGACCTAACACAAAGTTGTTGTTTATTATGTGTAAAGGGCGGGCATCACATATACCATCAATTTACCTCACCTCGTTCGCAATATCAATCTATTGGTATTGAAAAATGGATAAAGCATTTATACCATGATGGAAAGCACGAGTAGAATTCTAGAGCTGTTATCAGAACGTTTCTTAACCTTTATTTAAATAATTAGTCTTAATAAACTATCAGCATTGCCTGGGTATTAGACGGGAATATTTCTATTAAAGTTAGATGATAACAATGTAATAAGCAACTTGAACTTAAACCTTGATTGGAGATAACAGAAACTGGATTCTCTTTAATCCTTAAACAGCTCTTCCATCACATGTGATCTTGTTTGTAATTGTTGCGCTGAAGTAAAGCATCATTAAGGCCAATGTACTTTGAGAACATCGAGTATTGGATATTCCATATAGTGGTTACCATGTCCGCAAATCAGAATACAACCGTTAACTCGAACGTTTGAACGATTTTGCTGAATACCCGTAAAGAAATTTTAATGAAGAGTACATTTTGAAGATATTCAAGATGTGCTGCTGAATATTTGATATGCTGGTTCTCAGTGAAGACATCTGTAGCCTGACCACCTGCAAATATTCAAACAAACTGGTTATATTTTTTCGATAAATTACCTCAATCCACACATTAGGAGGTGGACATGATAGACGATAGGCTTGAATCTACTGCCAACTACGCATACGGTATTGTTACATGCCCACTAACTTTGATTTGGCCCTTAAGAAAAGTTCGAATTTCTGCTCCTTGCCTCCACAATAATGTAAAAACCATTGAGAAAATACGTTAGATGAGATGCGTATGCCAAAATGAAATTTACCTTGATAATAAAACCTCATTTTGAGATTATTCTGTCGTATTTACGTTGCTGGCATCCTCCTCTTATATAAAATTATTACTCCATACTATTTCGTCGTGAATAGCTTCACGTACATCAATTTTCATACAATTCGATCTTTTCAATAAGCGAATCGGATACCAACCCATATATAATATTACCACGTATTTATGAATTTTTGCGATTGTATCGATGTGACTAGAGACGCTTTTAACAATAAAAATGTCGGGCATTTTTTATGACGAGGAAATCTACTGTGTTCCAAGACAAACGGATGAAATTATCCAAGCTGGCGAAGCCAAAAGCAGTCCCAGCGTGCTAAAAAAGCCCAAGAACTCCAAACTAATTTGTTTGGTCAAAAGAAAAAAGAAATTCAAAGAGTTGAATCAAATTAAAAAAAGCCAAATTAGCCAAGCAAGAAATTAATTTACAAAATTATTTCTGCGGAAAAATTGAAGGTGCGAATTGAAACCGCTCTCCGAATTATTGATTTAAAAGGTACAAATCATAAGCTATTTGTGTGACAACACGATCGATGCATGCATTTCAATGACTTATTGATGCTATTCTTTCTATATTTTTCTTACACACAAAAACATTCAGTTTTATTGACAATATTGATAGTTGTTTTAATAAATTCTATTAGTGATGTTTGATGTTTCAATCTTTCTATAATATGTATTGTATTGTTTTTTGTTATAAATTCCTTTTGTTCTAAAAACTTTTCCCCCCTTTTTATACATCTATAAAATACGTAAATATATCACTCAACATAGTCGAGATATTATTGTAATGTGTATACATTTCATACAATCAAGGCAGATAGCAACATTACTTTTATTATTTATGAATCCCAGGCCTGCAGTAGTCATGATCGACTAGCTTAGCATTAAACCATCAAATAAACAGTGTACGTGATATACAGTTCTTTTCTTCTCAGAGACCAGCTCTTGTAAAGGAACTGTCTCAAAGAGTTTATCGAATAATCATTAACCATAATAATTGTAGATACAGTGCATAATAATAACAAAAAAAATTAGTCTCTACGCACAAGACTTTAAAAATGCGTAGCTTCACAAATTAATAAACAAATCATGTCCAATTTTAATAAGCAGTTATGCTAACATTTTTGTTATAAAAACACATCTGTTATCTTAATTATATTGTTGAAGAAAAAAGAAAAAAAGTCTCCAAACACACATGGTTAACAATAATTCACTTTGGAACCAAGAAATGCATTCTCAAAAAAATTCCACCAAATAGCTGGCCTTCATCAACCATTAAGTATAATATTAGAAAATAAGATCGGGGATTTCTGCATAAAAGGGTAACGGCTATCTATACCTAGCCTCGTACTGTCCATAAATTATCGCTGTCGGATTATAATTAACAATAATGGTAAAAGAATTAATTACTAATGTACCATAATATATTAATATATATATTAATATATATCAATAATTTTCATGGGTTTCAAGCTTTCAAACAACCCATTATCTATTAAAATTTGTTAAGTTATTATTAAAAAACGGAGGTCAGTTATTTTTGTTATATTAATATGGGCATGCTGCTGCAACAAAACCAGACAAAGTGAACATTCTATTATGTGACATAAATGAGAGGCCGATGTGGCTGAAAGTTAATTAATTCAACTATTAATATTTTGATTATCACACTTATTATTATATACAATTTTCTATGAATTACAGTTTTAGGGCGCTTGATGCCTCGGACCCTTTATTATACAAACGCCTACACTGTGCGGGTTTGATTGATACAATAATGTTGGAGGGTGTCCAGAATGGCTTCAATAATCGTTTAGTAAAATGTGCGACTGATCCTTGGCTAACACCAAACGTTGGCGATATCCTAGAGGATTTGCTAATCGTTGAATCACAATGCCAACTTGAATTTCAATAGGCGTTTGAGGTCGAAAGGGTGTAGATAAATAGTTAGGATGTTGTTGTAGGATACTAAGCAGTCGATTGAACGTAATGCGAAAATGAGATTAAAACTATTATACTCGCTCTCATCATTAATATGTCTGTCCAATAAGCCATTGTTTTTGGCCGAAGTAAACGATGTGTACGATTAATCCTTGACATCGAAATGCTAATTCTATATCAATTAATCTTGCATCAAACTCTCTGTTACTATGAAGGCAATAAGTCTTTTCCGGCTTATAGATAACTAACAGTCTTATACGGAAGGGCGTTATTTATGCGCGTATGCTTAATTGCAGCCACATATGAATTTTATCACATTTATCTGCATAAAGGTAAATATGATATTACTCTATTTAGAAAGCTGTTGAGAGCTGATGCCCTACTTTGTATGACTTCCAAATTGATCGGGCATCAAAGCTATTGAGAAGGCCCTTAAATTAATATCATGCCTAGAATATGACTAATTTAAAGTTAGATGAAGTTATAACATGATTAACATAGGATTATGTCTATATTAATATGAAACTAATTTACATTAAATCCACTATGAAACCAAAGAATTACAGTACTATTAGAAGAAAGCTCAATGAGAAAAGATTGCTCAATACGTTTTTAAAATCGATGATACTCTCCAGATAAAGAAAATATCACTTATGAAATTTACCAAGAACGAAAAATAATAAATAGTAAATAATGAAAACTTCCCAGGCCTCTGAAGATAGTCTTGATTATCATTGGTCATATTAGGTCTAGAAAGTTCCATTAAGCCACTGATCAGCGTTAGTATTTAGATCCCATCGTGCAAGCACATCTTACAAACGAATCTTTCTAACGAACCAAAAAAAAAAAAAAAAAAATGGCTGACATCAAACAGAGCCTCAAACAGTTGAAAGAACTGTTTCAAGAAGAACTAATAACCAAGGAAGTGTATGTAGACAGACAGAACACACTTCTTGATCAACTGGTTGGAGGTAATGACTTTGTGACTCTCGGGTGTTGGGGGTGTAGATAGGGTGCGTAGACATAGCTAAGCTAAGTGCATAAAGGCAG